GTGATTTTGTGGTTCTCTCCTCTCAAAGCTAAGTAGAATTCATCACGTAAGCAAAGAACAGTCTGTTAGATACCAACTTATATTAGGTTTTTCAGGTCAGTGTTTTCAAATTTTTAAGTTGTAAATGGCTTTACCAAACATTTTATGTAACAATTCTGAAAGCCCATGTAGCAGTTTTTCTAATTAGCTTATTTAGCCTAGTTTTAGAGTAACATTAGCTGTTTCATCACTGTTAAGCTATTTTGAGTATTCTTTGTGGCACCATCAATAAGACAAGAATTCATAGAGTTCCTTAATCATACAGATTACTCATCATTGCCAGCTCATAACAGAAGCCTGAAATGCTCATTAAAGTTGTCTGATGTGAATCAAAAGTTAGCATAGTAGCAGAATTAAAAGACAAGAAAATAGCATTGTATTAGAAAAAAAAAAAAGAAATTATTGAAAACCTGCTTAGTGAAACCTCCAGGCTTATATATAAGTCAGTACTCTGAGTTTGTTTTATATGGAAAATAAAATTAGGCTTCTGGAGTGGAGAATTGGTCTGAAAGAATTTGCGATCATGCCTGAAATGTAATAAGGTGGGGTTTTTGTTTACAGTGAGCTAAAGGAACTTGCTGCATGTTCTTGCCTGGTCTGGTAGCTTATTTTTTAAATTGGCTAATTATTAATCACTGTCCAAACTTGATCCTTTGCCCTTTGCTTTGTACCTTTCCATCACAACAATAAAAAGGTCGTCTCCCCGTCTTCCACAAGCTGTTTGATTCCCACAGGCAGTTGTTATGCCATGCTGTTTGAAGCATTGAGGCCCACATTCTCATCTCACCAAGTCTGTTTTTTCATGAGTGCAATTATGATGCTTCCATTGGAGTTGTGTGTTGATGCCAACATAATTCAGAGAAGAATCAAGTCATGATCTGGTCACTGTTAGAACAAGAATATGTATGGTCAAACGTTCTTCTTCAAAATGCCTTAGAATGCAGAGCAGCGCTATTAGCAGATATCTGCTGGGATGTCGCAGTTGTTAATCTTTATCTAAAAATATGTTAGCTTTTTCTGGAAACAAATTTAGAATAAGCTATAGTCTCTGAAAAACACCCTAAAGAAGATAAATGAATTGAGGCTTGATACCATTTTCATACTGCAGAATTTAAATGAGAAGATGGTGTGAGCTAGTGGATTGAGCTTATCTCTATTTTTGGTTTTGCCACTGGCTGCTTGGTTGACCCAAGGCACAAAAAGGCAAAATGACTTGCCTAAGTTTCACACCCACAAAACAGGAATAACTACGTTCTTCTGCTTTTTAAAGTGTAGTGAGATCTGTGGATGAAAGAAATCATACAAGAGCTACTATTACTATTTCTTACCAAGGCTGTGTGACACAACTGTTCTTTACTGAATGGCACATAATTTTAGAAGTGTGTGTGCAGTACCCTGGCACTGGCTGAATAGGACCTTCGTCAGCTGAGTTTTGTAGCCTGGTGTAGTGTGAGGTGTCCCTGCTCATAGCAGGGAGGCTGGAACTTGATATCTGTAAGGTCCCTTCCAACTTTAACCATTCTGTGATTTTGTGGTTCTCTCCTCTCAAAGCTAAGTAGAATTCATCACGTAAGCAAAGAACAGTCTGTTAGATACCAACTTATATTAGGTTTTTCAGGTCAGTGTTTTCAAATTTTTAAGTTGTAAATGGCTTTACCAAACATTTTATGTAACAATTCTGAAAGCCCATGTAGCAATTTTTCTAATTAGCTTATTTAGCCTAGTTTTAGAGTAACATTAGCTGTTTCATCACTGTTAAGCTATTTTGAGTATTCTTTGTGGCACCATCAATAAGACAAGAATTCATAGAGTTCCTTAATCATACAGATTACTCATCATTGCCAGCTCATAACAGAAGCCTGAAATGCTCATTAAAGTTGTCTGATGTGAATCAAAAGTTAGCATAGTAGCAGAATTAAAAGACAAGAAAATAGCATTGTATTAGAAAAAAAAAAAAGAAATTATTGAAAACCTGCTTAGTGAAACCTCCAGGCTTATATATAAGTCAGTACTCTGAGTTTGTTTTATATGGAAAATAAAATTAGGCTTCTGGAGTGGAGAATTGGTCTGAAAGAATTTGCGATCATGCCTGAAATGTAATAAGGTGGGGTTTTTGTTTACAGTGAGCTAAAGGAACTTGCTGCATGTTCTTGCCTGGTCTGGTAGCTTATTTTTTAAATTGGCTAATTATTAATCACTGTCCAAACTTGATCCTTTGCCCTTTGCTTTGTACCTTTCCATCACAACAATAAAAAGGTCGTCTCCCCGTCTTCCACAAGCTGTTTGATTCCCACAGGCAGTTGTTATGCCATGCTGTTTGAAGCATTGAGGCCCACATTCTCATCTCACCAAGTCTGTTTTTTCATGAGTGCAATTATGATGCTTCCATTGGAGTTGTGTGTTGATGCCAACATAATTCAGAGAAGAATCAAGTCATGATCTGGTCACTGTTAGAACAAGAATATGTATGGTCAAACGTTCTTCTTCAAAATGCCTTAGAACGCAGAGCAGCGCTATTAGCAGATATCTGCTGGGATGTCGCAGTTGTTAATCTTTATCTAAAAATATGTTAGCTTTTTCTGGAAACAAATTTAGAATAAGCTATAGTCTCTGAAAAACACCCTAAAGAAGATAAATGAATTGAGGCTTGATACCATTTTCATACTGCAGAATTTAAATGAGAAGATGGTGTGAGCTAGTGGATTGAGCTTATCTCTATTTTTGGTTTTGCCACTGGCTGCTTGGTTGACCCAAGGCACAAAAAGGCAAAATGACTTGCCTAAGTTTCACACCCACAAAACAGGAATAACTACGTTCTTCTGCTTTTTAAAGTGTAGTGAGATCTGTGGATGAAAGAAATCATACAAGAGCTACTATTACTATTTCTTACCAAGGCTGTGTGACACAACTGTTCTTTACTGAATGGCACATAATTTTAGAAGTGTGTGTGCAGTACCCTGGCACTGGCTGAATAGGACCTTCGTCAGCTGAGTTTTGTGGCCTTCATTCTTTGGTCCACAGCCATCATTACTTTGGCTTCTGATGGTGAAAATAGCAATAAATTATAGATGTTGCTGTTAATAAACATTATTCATCTACACCTTGTTCCCTGAAACCTTACAGTTACTCATTGTTGCAAACAACCTGCCAGATGCTGCTGTGGGCAAACAGGTTTACCTGAGCAACCCTTTTCCATATATATAAGGTATCTATATTTCTAAAAAAACTGTTATATTTTTATTTAAAAATTGTTTAAACATTTCCCAACAGAATGTTCCTGGCTCTGCCTCTCTGGAAACAAAATGAGTGCCACTAGCTCTATGTGTGAGCCTTCTGGGGTTTCTCTGTTGTCACTCACACAAAATAAACCTGGCTAGGTACCATACCCTCACACCAAGATCTTGGGTCCTTTATTAGTAAGCATCCCTACTTAGAGTCTGCATCTCTACCTGCATCTGTCCAATAAACTGTAACTACTGATAAAGCACAGACCCTTAATGGGAATTTGGAACTTGTTTGGCTTCACTAGCTTAAAATTTAGATTTCTCTTATTTCCTAATGATCCTGTTGGAACTGAAAATTAATGGGAAAAAGTTTGCTTTTTCCTGAGAATTTTCAGTAAATCAGGCTGTACTCTGTCATGAATTCCATACAGTTTGCAAACACCAATATGCCCTGGCATGTGCAGCATAAACTCAGTAAGTAATATACACATATTCTTCATATCTTTTTCAAAAAGCACTCGGTAGTTACTTGCTAGTGCAGAAGCATGTTGCCTTTTTTTTTGAACTGGAGGGTGGCAATTTTGAAACTGTTGCACAATTTGTTGTTAAAATAATCTTATAAATTGACAGGGCTGAAGTTAATGTCTTCTTCATTAGGAGAGATTCTTCTGCATTCTTTCAGCCTACTCCCCTTCCCCACTTTCTTTCCTGCAGGTTTTTGGAAAGTTGTCTGAGCTAAGTATCATTGACTGAACATGTTGATAATACATCATACACGCGTGCTGGGAGCTTGTTTGTAACTTAAGAGACAGAAGGAATTCCTTTTTAAATCTTCTGCCTAGAATGTACAGCTTGAGGATGCAGAAATTTTGGTGATCTTAGTGTTGCAAACATAGCTTTGAGTTCTGTATTTTAATAAAGGCTACTAGTTCTTCCACATAGTCTCAGTGGTGTCTTTCCTTCCTTTCAATTTTTGCTGCAGATAGCAAAGCATCTGGTAGGGTTAACAAAATTACAGCTTGTTTTGTTTTTTTTCCAAAATGGAAATTAAACCAGAATATACTCTGGGTGGGTCTCTGCTTGTATTAGTGTGTCTGGTTCTGGGCATCCATCCCCAGAAGGTTGGAAATGTAATTGGAGTGTGTTCAAGAAACAAAAAAAATGCTGATAAGCTTAAAGCTTGATTTGTAAGAGAAAAACTTAAAAAAGAAAATGTTAAATACAAACAGTGCAGCTGAGCGACAGCAGAGGGGAGGAAGGTTTTGAAAACAATCTACAATTTTGTCCATCAAAAAACTGAAAAATTACTTTGGGTGATTCAAGAAGGTATCATTAGATGTAGTGACATTAAACAATATGCAAACTTGATCTGAATGTTACAGTGAAGCAACATGAGCAATGAGACCTATGGTTTTATTATTTATCTGTATTGAGTTAGCAGTGAGGAATCCCAGTCAGGCATGAAGTGCTTCTTTTCCTGTAGAAAAATGAAACATGAACAAAATAAATGAATTCCCTCTCTTGAGTAATAAACAAGAAGCTTGACTGGGTGGCATATAAGGAATAAACTTAAACTGGAGGGATGTGGAGCAGGGACCTGGAAAGGTCTTTTGAGACTTTGGGTCTTACTGGTTGGCTGTTGGACCATTTAGGGTTGTAAGAATGTAACTCTTATTTTGAAGATGCTTGCTATTTTCAGTCAGTAACGCATGTAAATATTGCTTTAAATTAAAATAGCCTTACTACGCGATTGCCAAAAGCTGGAGAAACTGTCCTTGGACAGAAGTTTTTCATTGGTTTTGGTGGGAAAGGAGCCAACCAGTGTGTCCAGTCTGCTCGACTTGGGGCAAAGACCTCACTGATCTGCAAGGTAAGCACTGGCTTGCTCTTGGACTATAGCTGAACTAACTGTTCATGAGAATTCCAGTAAACCCTTCCAGAATTATTATCTTTTAAAAATCCTTTTCTAATTCCCTTTTCTTGTCCTTATTTCAGCTATAAATATAAGCATGGAGGAGGCTGTTCTAAGAATACTGTCAGAAGAAAAGTCTAGTTGGCTATAGATCTGGCAGAAATTGCACATAAAAGAGGACTGCAAAATTTAGATTGATGTACCATGGAAAAGACAAGTGGAGAGAATTTGAGATGTTCAAAATCCAAGTAATCTTGATTAGCCCCTCCTCTTAATGTTCCCCACTGTTACAAAGGTGAGGGAGTCATTGATGACATTCAGGTGCTAGGCACTATAGTCAATCTGAAATTTATTTTGTAGGTGATTAAAAATCAGACGCTGACAAGCCAGTAACAGATTTCAGAAGGAATATAAAACTTTGTGCTTCAAGGTTTAAATAATTATCTCATTATTTGAGATCAAGATGAAATGTTCATATTCAAGTCCTAGCACCTTTGCATGCTATAGGATTTTTTTGCCTACTCTTCTGAAACATCTGATACACAGCAGCTCTAAGGACTGGCTCACAGACCATCAGGCTGATTCAGCTTGGCAGATGTTATATTCTTACAATGCGTTTATTTCATTTTTGTCATTAATCATGAGTTTTGAGAGATCGTTACTAAGTTTAAGATCGAATTTTCTCTTTCTGTTGCCTTATTGTCTATCCTGTTCTAACTGTAAATGAAATTTCAAATTAACTGGACATACTTTGTTTCTGCCATAGCTGCCGAGGATGATAAATTTGTGGGATTATTGTCTGTCAGGGATTTTTTGAGAAGTACTGGAAACATCTCAAGAAAGCCTTTCTCACTGGTTTTCCAGTCCAATAGTTAGGCTGAAGAATGGTAACTCTAAATCTAAATTACACTTGCAAGCATTTCTGTGGGTCATTATTACTAGCTATTCTACAGTGTGAGTTTTTTTTAATATTGGCAATGTTTGTGCTTCTGTAATATTGTATGTGCTTGATCATCTTTGCATTCAAGAATGATCAGATTCAAGTACAAGATGAACTGGCAATGAATTCCCTGCTAGCATTTCCTGGTAAATGTTAAAGGATTTTTTTCCACTGAAAGTGTGAATTTTGTTTTATTTTTTAAATGGTATAGCCTTTGCTCAGTGCGTACATGTTTCTGGAGACATTTGCATTCTTAATACAATTTAGCAGTTACTATAATTTTTTATTACTTTCCAAAATCATATTTATGTTCTTTCAGTAAAACCTAGTCTTCTTTCTTTCTGATATTAGAGAAAAGAAACAGCAGAGATCTAGTCTTCAGATCTATAAATGTTAGTATTTTGTATGTGTTTTATTTTAAAAGTTAGTTTGTTGTTTTTTTTTTTTAATTTAAAATGCACTTTATAGCCTTACAAAAGGGTCTCAAAATAGTAATCAGCTATACATCTTATATCTGCGTAGGTCAATGGGATGTAGTAGGAAGTTTCTTGCTGAATAAACTAAGAAGAGTCAGGCAGTAATGAGCCATTACAAATTTAATTATTTTTACTTTAACAAGTCATCTGATTTATTCAGTGGTTCTTCAAGCCGGATTGCCTCACACACACACACACACACACACACTCCGTGCTCAACAACATGTTTATATTTTGGTTGTAATTCCCAACATTTTTTATCCAGGACAGTTGCAAGAATTGCTTCTACAATTTGAAGTTCAGGGAATGGAATCAATATTAGTAAGAGGACCATGGCATCCTCTTAGGAGAACTGTAATTCAGACAGAGGATGTCATCAGCAAGAGTAGAGGTAGACATCTCAGATGAAATGAGAAGGTTTTCATCATACTTCAGAGCTTTAAAACACAAAAGAGAGCCAGTGAATCTCTGCTGAGTGTTTAAGAAAGGGAGTTTTACAATGATTTACGGTTCTGCCTAGAGATGCCACAGAATGCATTGGATTTTAACGTAAAATCCAGGTACTGAGTTTGAGCAGTGGCAATGCAGGGGCTAACTTTCCTCCTGGATGTCTTTGCAAGTGGCCATTGTTACTGTGGGTTATCAATCTGTATCATAGTATCAGCCTTAAGCTCCCCTCCTCAGTTTGCTCAGTACAGTAAAACCATGTGTTGATGGAATAGTTGCCACTTTTAAAAGTCAAGAAAGAACTGTTCAGGGAAATGTAAAGGATCACTGTCAGGGAACTAAGGGATCAAAGCAGATAAATTAATTACTCATGTTCATACAAGAGCCCTGCTGCAGTGCTGAAAAATGCACAGTGGGCTTGAGAGATTGCAAAGTCCCCAGTGTATTAACTTTTTCCCTTTTTGTTTTTGGTTTGGTTTGGTGGTGCTGTTGTTTTGGTTGGTTGGTTTTGGGTTGGTTTTTTTGTAGTGGCCATTACAAAAAAAATCTGTTCAATATCCTTGATCCTTGGTCTGAAAGACATTGTATGTGCTGAAAAAAAGTCCTGGTTTACTTCTGAGAAGCAATTTGGAATGATCCTCACTGGACATTGATGTCACTAGCCATCATGATGCTGGATATACTAAATTCTACTGAAGCCCCAGTTGCATTTGATTCCTCCTTGGAAATAGGAAGTGCTGTATTGCCATGCTATGGAGTCTTCTCTCATTAGTTGGTCTGTAAGCCAAATTTAAGTTAAAGTGCTGGAAGCCTGAATTGTCACTTTATTGTAAGAACACAGCTATATCTCAGAATGTCACAGATACCTTTTTTCCTTTTTTATTACAGTTTTAACTTGTCTTTAATATCTGTTTAATTCCCTAATGAAGAAAAAGAGGAAACACTCTCAAAAAAAGAACATTTAGAATAGATTAAACAAACAATTGTCAAGAGTCAAGAGGTACTTGTTTTTGTTGTAATTAATTACCAGGTACAGATTAATTTGATTCTCTAAGTTACTAAAATTATAGCTGCTATTATGCTAGCCAGCTCCCCATGATCAACGTGGAAAACATGATAGTAAGCAGGGAAAATTCAGCCTGAAAAATACTGATGTGATTCCACTCATTCTAATATGCAAACTCTGTGACCATAATGCTTGTACTAACGGCTGTTATTGTTAAGAACACAAGAAAGAAGAAATGCAGTTTCAGCACATACAATGTTCTGTGGTCAGCAGACTAAGACATTTATTTTCTGTTCACCCATTAGTACATCTAACAGGGTCTGTGCAAAAGCAGAAAATATTTAAAAGAATGTTATATATTTTGACATGGTCAGTAAATATGCCTTTAATCTAAAATGAGTCTGATGCCCAATACTCTTGTCTTCCTTGAGGGTAAAGCCTGAATGGAAAAATAAGCCCTTCAAATGAACAAGGATTAACTGGGTTGGATGCTAACGAACTAACATGGAAAAAAGCTTCCAGAGGAAAAGGACCTCCTTCGAGACCCCTCCAAGGGCTTCCCTCCAGCATGAGATGTCTTGCTGTGAGCAAAAGTACCACGGCTGATCTCAGTTGTTTAGACAGTTGAACAATAAGGGATGCCTGTCTGTCAGTTATGTAGGACTCAGAGCTGAAGGAAGGAAGTTTCAGTTGAGCTTTTGGAAAATGGTTGTGAAATACTCAGTTGCTGAAACAACTAAGCAAATCCTGAGATTTTTTTATAGCAGCTTTTTAACAGCAAGGGAGGGAGAAGGTGATACTATCAGGTGGAACACATTCCAGTAGTACAAGTGTTAGGCTGCAGAGCTGAGCACGACTCAGGTTTAAATTGCAGATGGCTGCAGTCATCCAGGCTAAAGCAGTCAGCTTCTGACAACCCGCCCGGTCTGGCAAACTGGGAGTAGTCAGAGATACAGAAATACTCTAGTATGCAAACAATGAATAACACATTGACCAACTTAAATGTTGATGGTGGTTTTTTTTTTTTCTTTTTCCATGTACTAGATAGAGGAATGTTCCATCTGGTTAGACTGTTTTGACCTAAGTTGCTGTCCTCCTTTGGTAAAAGACTGGGGCCATCTCTAATGATGCTTTAGAAAAATCCCTTATGGAGGTTGTAGGAAATGAAAGTATGTTTCAGAATGTGGTTGTGCAATAGAATATGTGGGGAAAAGATCATCCATCTAAGACACTTTAAATTTTATCATTCTGAATTGCAGTGTTTAATTGTTGTGATCATTAGCTAGTTCTCAGGTGTTCTCCAAGCTGTCTAAAGGAGTGAACTCATAAACAGACTAATTTCTAACAGCAGGCAGTAGAGGCAGCTGCTTTGTACTTCCAGTAACTCAAATGCACTGTTAGCTATTCAGTGCTATTTTATGAAATGATGGATCATTAGGCTTCTTATGTCATTCCTTCATTATCTAGACCATGACCATGATTTGGCTTCTAAACCGCAAGATTTTTTTTCTCTTGCAAAAATACTTCCTGTAGCATTGGTAAATATCATCATGTATCATCATAGTCTTTGATACCACACAGACCCACGACTTACTCTTGGAAGTGGGAGCACACACTATGCATGCTGAAGACAGGATAAAACTGTTGAACTAAAAACTATGTTTGTTTTATAAATGTATCTTAAATGCTATTTTGACATTAAGCATCTTATACGATCTTTTTCTCCATATACCTCATCTCCTTTGTTCAGCTTGTGTGATTTAACAAAAGGAAACGTTTATTCATCTTAAACAGCAAGCAGAATTCTGTGCAGCTAAAAGGATCAGTGGAGCTGAAATTACAAGCTCTCTAACTTGCTGCTAGAAAAACAATAGAGCATAACTTCACTCCCTTGTTCAACTTGGTCTGCTGTTGCTGGATAAAACAAAAAAAATTGTTGTAAACATTTTCGTAAACAGTACATCTAGTACTGAGAATTACACAAATCAGCAATGCCATGTTTATTGTCACTTTCTAGACCATAACCACAGTTTGATATTTTTCCAGCAAGGAAATTTGAGATAGACACTTTGAAGCTGAATAATGATCCAGGAGTACAAGATTCAGTACACTTCCAGATTTTACAGTGCCCAGAAAGCTCCAGTGTGAAAAGAACGTAGTGGTTGTGTGAGAATGCAACTTAAATATAGCAACATGGGTGTAGGGATGAATTTTGTAAAAGAGGAAGAAAAAACTTTGGAACACTATTTCAATTGTTTATTAATATATTTTACTATTATTTATTAGATTATTAGTTGTTTAATAATAAGGCAAACTGCTGCAAATCAAAATGTTGTATTCAAAATACATTAGAGCATTCTGTTGTCTAAAGACAATTTATCAATCCTCTTACCTTGCAGTATAGAAAATCTACCCTTTTATCTTTTGTATAGGTTGGCAAGGATTCCTTTGGCAATGATTACATTGAAAATTTGAAGAAGAATAGTGTTTCTACAGGTACAATTTTCTTTAACGAAGTCTTTTGTATTATTTTTCAGCTTTTAAAATTGGTAGTGGCAGGTTTCTTATTTTATTGCCTTATTGGATATGGTTTGCTATTCAGAACTATGAATAATTGTTTTGACACAACTGGCAGGAATAAATGAAGATAGGTGAGAATATGGGGACTTCTGAAATCAGCTGTACCACTAAAAATAAAATGTAATGTTATTACCTCTAAATCTCAGATCGTTATATCAGTACAAGCTACCTGAAGATCCCTTGCTGTTTTGCAGTTGCTTAGGCTGGCATTAATGATGGTAGTGCTTGGTGAGATATTGAAAAATCCAGTCTGATTATTCATTCTCAGTTTCACATTGAGGGAGGTATAGAATGGAAATACATTTGTCACTTCAGTACATTTCGCCTCTCATATGTGAAATGTCACGTGCAGTCATTTTAGAGACTACAGCTGATGTTTGTTAATACACATACACAGGAATCAATGTTAAAAGGCTTTTGGGAAAGGGAAAATTAAGCATTCACAATATCCTATATTTTTGCACCTTTGTAATCCTAATCCTCTCTCTTCTGTAAATGTGTTGTTGTGTGCTGCTCTAGTACATGATCACATTTTTGTCTACAAGACTCTTTTCTCCTTCAGGATGGATAAGGGTGGACTGATGCAATCACTAAATGACAGTTCAATATTCTGTTTATGATTTCTGCTTAGTGTGCAGCAACAAGCTTCATTTAACACATTATTCAAATCCTGCTTTAAAGACAGAACTATCAGAATTTTGTGGGCTTTTTTATTATGCTTATCAGTATAGCATCAAAATATTTCACAAATGTATGTACTGGTTTATTTGCATATCATTCAACTTACACAAGAAACCATCAAGGATACCATAAAACCAGTTTCTGTTAGTAAACAGTTCTGTATCTCTCCAAAGCATGCCTACCTCATGAATAAAGTCTTTGATCATGTAAATAAAGGTACTGTAAGGCATGGCACTTAATGAAAGTGTGCTTTCCTCAAGGAATCTTCAATCTTATGTTTTGTTATTTAAATAGTTAAGCTCATAATCTTAACATAAATTTTTTAATAGTCTTTACAGGAGCTGAAGAAAAACGTAGGAAAAATTTTCAGAAATTCCATCTTATTGCACTTCACTGATACCTAGATCATTTAGGCCCAAGGTGCCAATTTCTGCTGACTGATTTAATAATATCTCAGAATGGTGTTTCATTGTCACCTCCTATGTTGATCAGCCATGGAGAAAAGCAGAAGTTATTGCTGGTGAGGCTGGTCCAGGATCCCAGCTTGCATTCACAGATTTGGAGACAGGCAATTGAGTGTGCACACACCTTTTTGCTTAAGACCATCCTATTTCAGTCCCTATTTTTTAATCTCAGTTTAATCCTTGTCTAGCATATCCCTTTTGTTATGCATAAGGATACTGAGTGCTAGATGAAAATCCTTGCCATAATGCCCATTCTGCCAACTTTCATACCCTGGATTCTTGTCATATGGCTTATTTGTTTATGTTGCTCTTCTGTTTCCTTACATACCACCTTACCTCTTTTCTTTCCAATTCCAATCAGTTTCATAATTTTTCCCTTTCCCACTCTTTCTGTCTTCCACAACCTATCAGCCGTCAGTGCTGCTCAGGCCATTTAGACCTTTTCTGATGAGTTACTCTCTCTCCCACTTTTAAAATGCGCATCTTGCTGCTCATGCTGCGTATTTTCTGCAGAGAGAGCATTGAGAGCACAGAAGACACCACTTCTTTGCTTTCAATTTCAGTATGCAGGCCTAGCTCATAGTGAAAAGAAGCTATAATTGCAAGGAAAGTTCTTCTCTGATCGTTGTAACTCTGAGCTAGGTAAGAGTGCCTCCAGGGTGCTTACCTGCAATACTGTAACAAAACTGAAGGACTATGACGTTATTTATTTTTTCCAGCCTTGTTCAAATTTGAGCACAATTTTAAACTGGCCACAAAACACGCATCTTGAGAAAGAAGCCAACTTTTCCCAGCATTGTTCATGTTCTAAAATGTTACGGCACCAGTTTCTTAAACGGAAGGTCACCAGAATTGCTCTCAAAGAAAACAGTATATTTTTCTCAAATAGAATTATTGGGGGAAAATCCTCCAACGTTTTGGACAGCTTTATACTACAAATCTACCTAAAATACTCCCAGCTGTCGTAAGAAGTTTCAGACCACTGGTTAATATCTGACAAATTTGCTGACAGTTGCAAACAGGTTCTTACAGTAGTAAATATGGAACAATCTTTATAATAAACAGTGCTGCCAGACTCACTTCTAGTTAATTTATCTGAATAATAATCCAAAGAGGAAACATACAGCCTCACCACTGCCTTCATAGCATATTAATATTACTGCTGAAATGCAAATGTACAGATAATTAAATCCTGTGTTTTTAAAATATTTTAGTTTTCTCCTGCTTTGACTCTATTGTTTCATTGGATAAAAGAAATATTTCCATGTAGGAGTAGAGCTCTTGCGAAGGCTGTATAAATAACATGCGTTCTCTAAAGCAGAGATGTAGCCAAATTAAAGAATGTTGGACTTGCTTTTTCTGTATTGTGGGTGTAAATTAACACTTTTTGTTGTTGTTAGCTTCTCTGGCATTGTTGCACATGAAAGAGTAATTAGCATTTTTAAATTGCTGGAGGTTATGGGTTCATTTTAGATTTAATTCAATTAAACTGCATCACATGCTATTGGATGAAAGTAACGTATTGAACTAATGCCTGCTGTAACTTTTCCCTTTCTTAGCATTTGTAGGTCAGACTACAGATGCTGCTACTGGAACTGCTTCAATTATTGTCAACAGTGAAGGTACCGATTTCTACCCTGAATTGTCCTAATTTTTCTGCCTCTGTGGCCATAAAAGAAACCTTTGCCTCGTCACTGTTAATTGTGGAACTATTTTTTCTACAGTTTTCATTTTTTTCATGATCCTATTCACACTTTGTTGCACATCTTTTTATTACGGGTGATGTAGGAGTAGGTGCTCAAAAGCAGCATAATCAGGTGCTTAATTTAGCAGTGTGGTAGCTGTAATTCAGTTTGCCAGCTGATAGATCTAGTTTTACATAGGCCAGAACACACAGTGTAGCAGAAGGTAAAAGCTCTCCTTTTCCACCACAACTTACCTAGCACTTTTACTATGAGGAAAGGGTTTGCCTCCTCAGCACACTGCATCATTATGCCTTGAAACAGGAGAATTTATTTCCTTTAGTGTAAGTAGAAATATTTGTGTTGATCTTGTAATATTACCACAATTCTTGATCTCAGTTGCATCTGCAGTGATAAATACATAATGAAATGGCATATTTGTTTTTTCTGTGGTAATTTTTCTCAGCCTGTGCCTTTGCCCTCATTGCAGGGGAAGAAGAAAAGAAGGTTTGGCTTGTTTTCATATTCTTCAGGATTGCTGAATTGTCCTCTGAAAACTTTGTATTTATCTTTTCCTCAAGAAAGTTATGCTATTGAGAGCTCATAGGAGAAGCATATGTGTCTGGACCAAAATTTAGAACTCAGGACCAATAATATTTATGCAAACATAACAAATTAAGTGTGATTTATTCATTTTTGGTGCATCTAAGAGGCTTAATTTGAACAGTTATCAGAGTTTAGCTGACACATCAACTTAACAAGCTCCTGTGTAACCTGATTGTGGTACATTGGGTTACAGCTCAAAATGGGAAAGGAAACACGATTATTCACTGCAGGAGAAAACCTAGGAAGGAGCTGTGACTAAAGGCAAGTCTACACAGGAACATTCAGGAAAATTAGGCAAATTAGGAGATACGAATTTCATTCTCCCTAAGTAAGATGAATCGAAACCTTGCATGACAGCTCTAATTCAGAAATAAGATATATTTATACATTAAATAAACTGGATACCTGCCTCCTACTTCCTTCTCTTGGTTTGGGTCAGCAGGTAAATTAGCAAAACAACTCTTAAGAACTTCTTTTTTATGCCACATACAGTCACTACTCTGGCCTCTATAAATGGGACAGATGGTGAGAATCCAGTAGCAGGCTCCCAGGCCTCAATGTTTTGTACATGTAACCATGTCATTATGCCTTGAAACAGGAGAATTTATTTCCTTTAGTGTAAGTAGAAATATTTGTGTTGATCTTGTAATATTACCACAATTCTTGATCTCAGTTGCATCTGCAGTGATGAATACATAATGAAATGGCATATTTGTTTTTTCTGTGGTAATGTTTCTCAGCCTGTGCCTTTGCCCTCATTGCAGGGGAAGAAGAAAAGAAGGTTTGGCTTGTTTTCATATTCTTCAGGATTGCTGAATTGTCCTCTGAAAACTTTGTATTTATCTTTTCCTCAAGAAAGTTATGCTATTGAGAGCTCATAGGAGAAGCATATGTGTCTGGACCAAAATTTAGAACTCAGGACCAATAATATTTATGCAAACATAACAAATTAAGTGTGATTTATTCATTTTTGGTGCATCTAAGAGGCTTAATTTGAACAGTTATCAGAGTTTAGCTGACACATCAACTTAACAAGCTCCTGTGTAACCTGATTGTGGTACATTGGGTTACAGCTCAAAATGGGAAAGGAAACACGATTATTCACTGCAGGAGAAAACCTAGGAAGGAGCTGTGACTAAAGGCAAGTCTACACAGGAACATTCAGGAAAATTAGGCAAATTAGGAGATACGAATTTCATTCTCCCTAAGTAAGATGAATCGAAACCTTGCATGACAGCTCTAATTCAGAAATAAGATATATTTATACATTAAATAAACTGGATACCTGCCTCCTACTTCCTTCTCTTGGTTTGGGTCAGCAGGTAAATTAGCAAAACAACTCTTAAGAACTTCTTTTTTATGCCACATACAGTCACTACTCTGGCCTCTATAAATGGGACAGATGGTGAGAATCCAGTAGCAGGCTCCCAGGCCTCAATGTTTTGTACATGTAACCATGTTTTGCACTAGGCTTTCTGTGCAGAATAGCTGAATAAGAAGCATCTTGTTACTTCTCAATTCATATGCAAGGTAAACATGATCTAAACTTAAAATTTTAACAGGATGCATTTTTCTGAAAGATAAAGAACAAAACCATTTTGTGGATCTAAAACCTTTATAAGCACAAGGAAAGAGACTGTTCAATGCTGTGAGGTTCACCATGGGCTATCTTAGATGTTGGTGTCAGTATGAAGGATCTCCAATACTCTTGTGATTCACAGAGTGAGATGAATAATGTATCACGTCATATAGCTTGCTTCTTTCAGAAACTAAAAATCCTAAATTCTGTTACCAATTTTCAGATTCAGATTTCAAAATCATATTTTATTTAAAATCTAGTAGAAGAGAAAACCTGGTCAGAACTGTGCTAGAAAGCAAACAGATGCACAGAACTGGTAAGTGTTCTGGTTGTTACTTCTCTCTAAAACCATCTGGTGCCCGAATTGAGTAAATTGCAATAAAATAGCAGTACTTACGTGCTTTGCTGTTGCAAGAGACACTGTGGGTTTTTTTTTCCCTCTAGAAACCTGGTGGATTTGACCTAAACAGGTTTTACAGCACTTTTCAAAGGGCTTGTCTAAACATGCATGTTTTACCATAGTACTTGTGGTACTGCTGAAACACCACAGCATTCAATGTAAAGCAGTTTTTGCTAGTTCAAATTATACCTAAAAGGGAAGATTTGAAGCTGGAGGTGATGATAGTGTTTTATGTTATGGCAACGAGGGACAAGTAAAAAACATCAATATCATGTCTTTAAATTGCCAAGTTTTAATTGTTGTAGTTTCACACACGCTTCACATCACCTGCATTTCATCTTACCAGTTCTTTACAAGTACCTGTATTTAGGAAGAATACAGTCATCTAAGTAAAATCACAGGCAGAAGGAGTGATATTCAAGTAGAGGGGGCAAACTAGGATGGATGAATGAAGGCAAAGAAAGCTGTAGAGAGCAGAGTCAGAGAAGGCTCTGAAGTAAACTTTCCCTGATACTATCTTTGTCTGTCTAGCTGGTGCTGCAGAATTTCTGGGAAGATTTTTACTGGTTACTGAATTGCACAGATATAACTCATCTGATACTGTAATTGACAAAGTATCGTACTTTTGAAAATTATCAGGCACATTTTATATTCTCAAAGTTGCATTATATTCTAGGACAATTCAGTACAGTTTCAATAAAAGATAGGTTAAATTTCTGCTTTCATGGAAAATGGTGGAGAGATGTTTAATAAATTTATAGTGCTGCACTGGAAAATGTGCAGCCAAGAGACACTGCAAAGGTCCTCTCTGGGCTGGTCTCAGAAGTCTGTGTAGAGATCTTTTTCTGGAACCTCATATTCCTTTCAGTTGTTCTCAGTTGCACTACTGCCAGTTCAGGTAGGTTTTGACTAAATACAACCTTCCATTTATCAGGACCCTGTACACTTTGAATCTGTGATTTTTCTCTTAAGCAGAAAAGTTGGTACATCCAGCTGCTTTTCTTAACATGTTTTCTTTGAGGTGCATCGCACCACTTTGAACCCCAGCTTTTTTTTCCCCTTTCAGCCTGCTTTCTTTCCACACCTTTTGCTAACAGTGTGCTATTGAATGGTAGAAGCTCTGTAAAGCCATGATGTGTGTTGTACTTTTACATACACACATAGGGAGGAAAAAAAACAACTCTCTATGGATTAAATTCTATACATGTTTACCTGTGAAGTTTATTGCAGCTTTGTCCATATCTGGTACTGACTGTTGACGGCACCATGAAGGTGGCCTGACTGGACCAGTAGTTTGAACCAGCCTGACAACTTCCTTGTTCATAGCAAAGATTCAGCAGAGGGACAACAGAGGTTGGCAGGTCATGATTAAAGTGCTCTTGATTATTGCAAGGTAGGACTCAAAGCTCACCTACACAGGGCACTGTGAGATAACTCTCACTTGAGATAGGCATTGTACTGACTTTACGATAAAGTTATTAATCATTCATGAACAGTGAATAGGCATTATTTTGTAAGTGAGTGTACCTTCAGTACCAAAGCACTACTCATACTAAAACATTAAAAATATATATTTAGGTAAGGCTAAATAAACAAGTCAAACTTAGAATACAAATGCCAGCTTGTTCGAATTATACTTTCCAAAGAGAAAAATCTTTGTTTTGAGCCTTCAGGCTTACGAAGAAATGTCACCTGAGTTTTTATAGAATTTCTGTGTATTGGCATTCTTCATGAACTTGAATGTTTTGTGTACAAAACTGTATGATGTTTCTACCAAGTAATTGCATAGAAATTATGATACCATGACACACACAGAACTTGCCCTCACAATAATGAACTCTGTGATTTGGCAGAAAATGTTTTCCTTGTGACATTCTTTTCTGGTCACAAACATAATTATGATACAGAAATTCTGCAGTTGTTGCTATAATTGCATTGTTTGAGATTTTGGTGAGTTGTGAGCACTACTGATGGCATTTAGGCTGGTCATCCCATTTGTGAAAGTGATGATTGTTGCACTGCAGTGTTTACTGGTTTGCCTTTTTGCTGGCAGTTCTCATTTGGTGGCATGTACAAAATTACATTTATTTTAAAAAATCTAATATTCTAAGAAGTAATGGTAGTGGGTTTAGAAGCCCAGCTTAGGACAGTATTTACATATGCAGCACTCACACTGTTTTAAGTATTGATTTGACCCAAATCCCCATCTGGTATAAGCTTGCACAAGCTTGTCAGCTTCATTTAGCTGTTCTAGCTTATAGCAACTGTGAATGTGGCCCTTCATGTTTTAGCTGATGTCTGCAAATAAAAAATTACATCGATACTTCCATAAAAACTGAGAATGTTTATTATTTATTTGTATTCTAACACATATGTTAGAATTAACTGTAATGCAGTAAGAAGACTTTTCTCACTCTTAGTGTAGGTAACAATTTACCTCACTTGATCTGTTTCAAAGTGATGTGTATAGCTTAGGGCTTCACCTAGACTTAATAGAGGCATATCGATATTTCAGCACAGCTGTTTATCTCCTCCTCAAAGAGAGATCTAAGATATGTACAATTTAAAAAAACTCTGAAAATACTCATCTCTCCTCCTTGCTGAAGGAATCTAGAAAACTGATTTTTAGAAATTAGTTTTTTTAGAATTTTCCAGAATAGAGGATTATTTTTTTTTAAACTTTAAGAATTAATGTTGGACAAGATGCATCCCACCCCTCTTTGCCATCTGTCCTTAACTCTGTTGTCCCTGGTGCTGGTTTCCCATCTGATTTCCCTGGCAAGAAATAATTGCTTTCAGCAAAATGGTTGCTGTTAGTACAAAATTCTGGTATTCATTGTGAATGCATGGGTCCAGATTCTGCTTCCATGCACGCTGGTGCAAGTTTGTGGTGACTCCTGTTGTTCACACTTAGTGTGGTATATGGAACTAAGAACAGAATGTGGCTTTTTCCCTCCAAGTAGGGTTAAGCCCGTCCGGACTGTCACACTGCAGTAGGTTCTGCATTTCCCTGACACGTTTGAAGCCAAACTTTAAATCTCTGAGCTTTTGTAGTTATGAAGAAAAGCTTCCGAGTGTGATCCATGGTCTACCTTGAATTTGCACAAATGGGTTTAAGCAAATAGCTTTCCTTTTTGCTTTGGGCCATTAGCTCTACAGTCTAGTAATAATAATATACATGTCAGTACAACTAAATAGTTCAGCAAGATAATGCAGCAAGGCATGTCAATAGAGTCAGAGATTCTAAGTACAGAGGCCAGGCAGAAATGAAATATATTTTTGTTCCACTGATTCCCTGCCTTTTACTGTTTGCACTGCTGCACCCTATAAGCTTTCAAAATACATGCTCGACAAAATAGTGCAATTTGCCTTTGAATGTTTCCGCAACAGGATTCAGCTATGCTTGATAGCATTTACTTGTTGCAGAAGGCCTTTTTTTTTTTTCTTCTTTTTTTTTTTTTTTTTTTTTTTTAGCCGGGATGCCCTTTTTTTTCTGTTTAAAAGCAGCAGAAATGAAATATATTTTTGTTCCACTGATTCCCTGCCTTTTACTGTTTGCACTGCTGCACCCTATAAGCTTTCAAAATACATGCTCGACAAAATAGTGCAATTTGCCTTTGAATGTTTCCGCAACAGGATTCAGCTATGCTTGATAGCATTTACTTGTTGCAGAAGGCCTTTTTTTTTTTTCTTTTTTTTTTTTTTTTTTTTTTTTCAGCCGTGATGCCCATCATTGTCTGTTCAAAAGCAGGGCGTTGGCTTTAAACGCTGAGGTTTTGCTTTTCATATGCAGCTGTTCTCTACCAAACCATTGACAGCAGAATTGCTTTGGAAAGCTTGGGCCCCTCCCTCTGAGATCACTATATTATTCTTTCCATTGTCCTGCTTTCTTTTCAGAACATATTTACGGAGACAAGCTTTGCACATTTCTTATTCAAAGGACTTTGAAGTCACATTCAACAAAAATAATGTATTTAAAAATATAAATATTTATTTGCAGAGCAATTCAGTTCATTACAGAATTAGTAGCCTTTAATGATTGGCAGTCCTTAAAGGAATCTTCAGCGGGGGCGGGCTGAGCCTGTAAATCAAGGAACAACTGACTTATTGAATTTAATACCAGAATGATTAATAATACATTTTAATTTAAAGGCAACCATGCCTGAAGGTCTCTAGGTGTTGTAACAGAAATTTAGAAAAGAATGAAAGAAAGAAACTGCAATAAAAGAAGGCAATTTACATGTCTGAAGAAAAACAAAAGAATATTTGGAACCTACTCATCTAACTTTAAAATAAACTAGGATACTGCTGTGCTTCCACATTTATAGCTTTGCTTAGACCATTGTACTGGCCAGCTTCAAATGCAGAAGAATACTGTAACCCACCTTGTAATTCACTTCTGATCAAGCTTTCCTTAGACACAGGCATGACCTTTCTGGGTTTTGGTGGCAAGCTGATTCTGGTTTTCATGATGACTAGGGCCCCTAACTTGAAGGTAAATAGAGCAAGCCTGCTTCTCTGAAATATAAAGAACATGCTGTGAAATACCCTCTTTCCAGCTGGTGAGAAAATGAAAATTTTTAGGGCATTTTTGACATATGAACTCAGTAATCTCATTGATGCTTTTCTTTTCCAAGTGCTACTGGAATATATTAGGAAAAAGCCAATATCAGCCTAGTCCGTGTCCCCCATCTCCACTGTGACTAGTACAGTGCTTCCTTAGAGTTCCTGGAAAACTCTAAAATAAGACTGGCGAAAGCCCATCCATGACTTTCCCCAAGGAAATGCATACTACGTTTGTTGGACAGTGTAGCATTCATTAGTCCTTCAGTCTTTTTTATTATCTTTTCAAATCTTTGGGTATTTGAAAATGTCAGCAATGCATACATTTTTAGGGAGGGGGGGTTTGGAAAGCAAATTGAAATCCTAATCTGAAATATACTGTAGAAGAGCAAGGAATTGCAAAGTTAATGTAAAAACCACAGTATCTTCTCTTTAGGACAGAACGTTATTGTCATAGTCCCAGGAGCCAACCTGCTTTTAAATTTTGAAGACCTGAAGAGAGCTTCTGATACCATCAGTAAAGCCAGAGTGCTTGTTTGCCAGCTAGAAATAACCCCTGCTGTTTCTCTTGAAGCCCTGAAAATCGCACGTGCCAGTGGAGGTAATTTAACGTAAGCCATTCTGTCTCCCTCTTTTGTGTTGCATGAAAAATATTCTTTATTGTGCTTTCTAAATAAAGATCCCGTGGTCTATCTTGGTTTCTGTCATACCAGTTTTATTTAGAAATAGAATAATAGCCAACAAATTCATGCTACGCTAGTGAAAAGTAAGTTTTAAAATTTTGCAGTGTTTACCTTGAAAAGCAAACCAACCCATACCCTTCTAATCTCCCTGTATGTCTGGTGCTGCCTTTCCTTCTATTTTCACGCTGTGACTAAGTACAGTCTAATGTTGTTAGGTCAAGAACTATGAGCCTGACTAGTATTATTCCAGAGCAGAAGAGGCATAATGAGTGCAAGTCAGTAAAGTTCCACACACAATCAAGTGAATGAAAAGGCCTCAAAAACAGATGTATGTCCTTGTTCTCCCAGCATAGCAGTAGGTTTGACTGTGGTTTTCCGTATAGAAGTTAACATCCTTAAAAAAAAAAAAAAAAGGCAAAAGCTTTTTCTTCTTAACCAAAACTTTTGGAGTGTGACTTGGCGTGCTGCCATTGAATAGACAGAGCCATGGTCTGTGAGATTCTAAGTAAATTGTTACTGTGCTCTGCTTTTAAATGTAGACCTTTGTTCCTCCCGTGTAGTGTGTGCATAGATAAAAGCAAACATTTTGCTTGAACAGGATGAAGTTTCACTACTGACATGATGTTTTTGTTGTTCAAGTGTCTGTAATGCCTTCAGTTACTTAAGCACAATTACCTCTGTATTTGACCACTAAGTAAATAATTATGCAAGGGAGGCATCTATATGAGATTAAAAATATGTTCCTCTCTTTTTTGAAGATAAGACTGGGAGAGAACATAGCTCTCATAGTATAGTCAGTCATGCAGCATGCCAGGGATGGAAGTGGGATCAGAACTAATCAATTCCTTGCAGCTGGGCCTAGGCTTGCTCCAGCTGATCCATAGCACATTGGGACCATTGACTCCTCTGTCCTCCTTCCGCCCAGAGGTCTCTTTTGCACCTGTTGTGATCACTAGTATTTATGCACTAGTGAAGATGTCAGCTGTAGCAGAACTTTATGCATCACGTCCATGGATTTTGTGATGATTTAAGTAGCTATATGAGATGCAAGGCTGGGAGAGAGTGGTTCTGCAGCTGTGATGCTAGTAGTCATAAACTCTATAAACAGGACTACATGTGGGGAAAAATCATTTTGACTTCTGTTTGAAATGTCAAAACTGGGTTCATGCAAATCTAAACAAAAATTTTAAATGTTAGAAAACTGGGTAGCACCTGGAATGCTTAAAATATATGTATAGGCCAGGGTGAAACAGAGCTTACTATATTTTTTAATTATGTTTTAAGAAAATGGATAAAAACATTTTTGATCTAGTGGATAATGGACTATAACTGAATCATGAGTTAATATCTATGACTTTGTCTACTTCTAACCTATGCATAGTTTTGGTGAGATGGTTCACGCTTTCGTCACCCTCATATGGCAAGATGCCAACCTGTGACAGAAAAAAGGGTAGGATTTCTTTAAAAGTAGTGAAAAAAAACCCCAAACCTGATACACAGAACACACAGGGAAGCATTTAGCAACTGTAGACAGCGAAATGTATCAAGAAAGGCTGGTTAGCTGTGGGTCAGCTCTAGTTCTGCACTGTCAGTCTCCTATCTTTGTGCAGCTTTCATACCAGGAAAGCTTCTTCTGCTTTAAAGCAGTAGGCTACACATGTTCAAATGTCATGTGCAGTCAAATCAAAGTAAACAGCTGAATTTATAGCACTGTAAAAATCTTTCCTTAGCCAACTGTAAATTGTTAATGCAATTTCCTTTCTTTTAGCCTACAGTACCCTCATGTATAATGCAGTACTGCATGTTAGGATGTGCAGTAGACTATTTTTGTTTAAAACAGATGCATACCCAGATGCCTCAAACCTCTGTTTCAAAAGGATTTTTGCTTGTTTTTATTCATTCTTGAAAGAAACAGACAATTAGATGCAGAAAGAATCTGGACACATAGGCAAGAACCCTTGCCTTCGCTTCAGTGAACATCACCTAGATTTGTAAGCCAAAGAGGAACACCTGATATTCTGACCCCCTCTCATTGTGGCACTGATTCTGAAAGGTCTTGTGAAAATCTTGGTAAGAGTGAAAGAGGGAAGAATGGTATGATATGGGTATAAATTGTAGTGGAAATTTGCCTGGAAAATTCTAGGGGTTTCATGGCCACATGTTGTGAAACTGCTGATGCTTATAAGAGGAGGGACCACTTCATTCATGTACAAACTGTTATTGTATGTCAGAGTCTATAAATTAGTTTTCAGGCTTCTGTAATGACAGATTCTATAAAAGATGGCTAGTAATGTCCAGCATATTCATATTGCAAAGAAGAATGAAAATGTATTATAAACAGGGCTGGAAGCAGCCTCAGTTATCAAGATTGCATGTCACTTGCAAGTAAAGGGTCTATTTTTCAGGTGTTTCTCCTTTCTAATCTTGGGCTCCAATTTTTCATAACAGCTGTTTGTTTGTGGTTAAATTCTTTGTAAAATATCTGCCAAAGCCTAGTGGCTGCAGAAAACAAGCAACAGAAAAATGCCTCCCTCCCTGCCCCATTTAAAAGTACGACTACTGTCTACCTTCAAATGTACTAAAGGCTTGATAGCAAAGGAGCTTTCTCTTAAAGATAGGGCTTTACAACATCTTTACAACATCATTAAAAAAAAATTTTATAGACATCTGCCTGATTTCTACTGTATTATCTGCCTTTGGAAAATAGCTGCCTTTGACATAGTCTTGAGAAATTGTTAGAGCGTCACAGCTTGAGACTCCTTAGAGTCTGTCCACACACACAGTTGTTGATTTGGGCAGCAAGACTTTCAGTGTGGCTCCTGAATCTGGTTTTAGGCAACTTAGTGTATACTCTCAAGATACCTTGTAGGCCCAGGAATTGCAGAGCAGGAGGTTGCTTGATCTGAATACCGGAGAGACAATGCTGGATGGGAATGGTGGGGAGAGTAGATTAGATTTCAGAGAAGGGAAGTGTAGGAGGGATTTGCTTATCTTGGGGTCACAGAGGGTGAAGGAAAAGAGAAACTGAAAGGAAATATAATTGGACCAGAGAATAGGATTGTTTGAGTAGAGTGGAATATGGAAGTAGAGTCAGGGAAAAGGCTGTGAGTACTGGAGTGGGAAAAAAAAAGTATTGAAATGGGGGCTTAAAGAGAGATGACATGATGCAAGTTGAGTGAAGAAGGTTGATATTGCCTAATGCCTATGCAAGAAAGTATAAAATATGGAAACTAGGTGAGGAGAATGGATCTTGGCAAAGGGAGAGAAGGAATTTAGGCAGAAAATAATTTGGTGTTCATCAGGGGAACTAGGCAGGTTACCCTGTTCACAAGACATGCTCTTCACAGCCTGAAAGACAATTTTTGAGTTCCTCTGTATCTCCCAGATCAGCAAACTTTAAATATGGGCGCAAACTAACACCAACATATTCCATCCTGTTCATGATGAGTCTGCATTACTTAACACCCAGTTGGAGCACTTCCAGTGCTGCTCCTGACCCGTGTGTATATTGGTTTCTTACCACAGGACAGAATTTGTTTCCAATATATGCTCCTGTTTTGCCTAGGAAAATATACCTTAAAGATCTGTGTTTAAAAAAACCCAAAACTTTATTAGGGTTGCAATTCAGAAAATGGGAAATGTAAGATTTAAGATCACCTGTGAAACACTAATTTGTCTCCTTTCTGCTTATGTATTATGTTGCAGTCTTTAATTATGTGATCACATGCTGTTTTTCAGTGGTATGTGATAATTTAATTAAAGAGTTTATTATAATATATACTGTATTGTAAGAATATAAAAAAGCCAAATTAGTATTTCATTGGAAATCCTAATATGGGCATTTTCTGACTTTGGAGTAGGTGTCTTTGTTGCTTTAATACTTTTTTAACGAGCCCGGTAGAGAGGCATGATAAAGTTGTACGGTCAAAGGCTAAAACTTTCAGAGTGTTAATCAGAAAGGTCATCTTCTAGACCTCTCAGCAGTCAGATTTCAGAAGTCTCTGTCCATCTTTCCCTTTTAGGGCATTAGCTGGGATTCAGAAGTGTTCAAGGTGTCTGAGTATTATATGCTTAGGGTCTAAATTAGCATTTAGGACTGAAAATCTAGGCATCCAAGTTGGAAGATTTGATCACTTACTATAAGGAATACTTCTAAAGTAGAAGAGTGTGCATTATATAAAAATGATGGCCTTGTGGTTAAAGCACAGAAGTATTAATCATAAAATTGGCAAAGTGAGAAACTGAGTCTGCAAACTTCCTGTGTTAACAGTGAGTAAGTCACTTAAACTGTCCTCATGACAAACCTTTTCTGCTGCTACACGGGGCCTTAGGCTACAGTTAGGTTAACTAACATTCTACCACGTGTTAACTTTAGGTCTAGCTCTGCCAGATAGCATATTAAAAATACACAGTGCTTTGTCGACACTACAGTTTTATAATGTGGCAGTTTGAACAAGTTAGGTAACACATTCAGAAGCTCGTTTAACTCCTTGTCTGGACGCGCCCTTCGTTACTCCATGCCCCTGTTTCTTCATGTAGAGAATGCAGATAACAACACTGGAAAAATTCTAGGACTAAATAATTTATTGTAAAACTTGTTAAAATCCTGAAAGAAGCATAATCAGTTAAACAAATTGCATTACTGTCCAATTCTTTTTTCCTTTTTTTTTTTTTTCCCCTTAAATAATTTCTTGGTTATTTTTTTCTGTTGCTCTTCTGTCATGTTCCCATCAAGACAGAATTATAAGGGAACCTAAATATAATAAAAAAAACTTTAAGCAGTTCTATAAAACAAGGACACAAAAATTTTGTATTATTGTGCATTAATAATAAACATGGGGGGCTGTTAATTATTCACAATGGTGTTTCAGGTGATGGTTCATGAATCTAAAACACTAGAGATTTAGACTGGTTTGTTTTGTTTCATTTTGTTTTTCAGTAAAGACTTTATTTAATCCAGCTCCAGCCCTTGCTGACCTAGATCCACAATTTTATACCCTTTCTGATATCTTCTGCTGCAATGAAACTGAGGTAATGGTAAAATGTTATTTTAAAGAAGGAGTCTTATGCAGTAAAATTTCAGAGGGATTCTGTTCTCAGAAATGCAGCAAAGGGAGTAGGAAAACTGAGGCATCCTCCTCTTACGTGGGACCTTTGGGAATGACAAGTTTGATCCCTACTCTAATGAGCAAAGAGAAATATTCTAGAATACCCTTAGACTACACTCAAAGAAAAGTTGTGTCCAAACTGCCTGCCAAGTAGATGAGTGAAACAAATCCAAAAGCGACACTTTAAAAATATTATTACTGAGTGGTAAATATTAAAATAGATCCTTGTCCTTGCTTTGCAGTCACTTGATATGATTAGCAGGAATTCTTTAGCCACAGTGCTCTGACAGTTTTAAACTCGCTTGCCGGGAGGTGATGCATGAATGCTGCACATGATGGTAAATATTAGCTTCATATGCCTCTTCCTGTCAGATCTGTTTTCAGTGAATCTCCTTCTCTGGCCTTTCAACTGTATGTTTTCCCCCTTTTTTTTCCTCTCTTTTCCCTCTCTTTTCTTATTCAAGTGTGCCATTTCTCCCAAAGGAAATTATTTTTGTCACAAGAAACAAATTAAGCTCATAAGGCCTTCATTTAAATTTCCTATTATTAGCATTATGCATGCTGTGTTCCTTCCCTTCACCCTCTCTAATATATAATCAGGAATGGGGAAGAAGCAACATAGTGGATAGAAGCCATGCCCTGATCATAATTAAAGTTACCTCCAACAAACATGATTTCTGCAATGAACCTTTGGGTGGAGAGAAGGGGAAGAGGTTTTTTATGGCCCTGTATACAGGATTTTTTGTCTGATGAAGATGTCTGTCAGAGTAAATCCTTCAAGACTGAATTACCCTCTTTGGAAATTCTGTGAAAACCTATCACAAACCATAGCAGAAGTTCTCAATTAATGAGTCTTCTAGCATTTAAGAGTTGGTCTAAGTAATCCAAATGGACATCTACATTTTATCCTGAGATGTTTTTGTATATGTCTGCCAAGTTCAGTTACTCCAGAGCATTCAGGAATTAGCAAAATAGTAAGGTGGAAGATGCCATGGCTCCTCAGGCCTCTGGAAGGCCAAGTTTCCAGGATAACTGGCAGTGATGCCATTTGTGGCTTAAGCACTGTCCAACAGCCATCAGAACTCAATTATGTGTGATGAAGAGAATGCTGTGACAAAGTAGTTACTCTTGTTCCGGGGAGTTGCAGAACACCCGTGTAGTGTTTTCTTCATGCTTTCAGAAAGCACTTATGCTAAGACTGTGGCCCTGGATTGACTGAAGAGTGCACATTTTGGGCTGAAAACACCCATACTCTCCCACCAATTTAGTAAACGTCATTTGTTGTTTGCTTTTTTCATAATGTCACTAGATTGTTGTTTTTTCCCTGTGAAAAATTATTTCCCATATGTTAGAAACAAAACTTTGTTTTTCATTACTTGCCTATTCCTGACTTTTCTCTCATTGCTTTTTGCAACACGCATGTTAAAGTTTTCCCTTTGTTTTACATTTTTTGCTAGAGGACAGTCTTGAAAGAGACATTCTTTGTAATGTTTAGCTTGCCAGAGCCAGGGTGTTTTATTATTACTACCCCCACCTGGAAAAATAAAATTAGTTCTATTTGGAGAACAAGAAATACAGGTGTATAATTATAATAGATCCCCTTTTATTCATCTACCTTTCCTGCAGAGCTGGGGGTACAGTCTACATTATTTTCTGCTCTTTTCTTTTAAAAAGTAATTACCATTGGGAGATAACTGTGATCACTGTATGCACAGACAAGCATAAAAATATGCTCTGTACTATTGAGGAGACTTACCTCTTCTGAATTTATGGAAATGGTCGACCTAAGGAGGTTTCTGCTAGCCATATCATGGGAGTACAGATCCAAGTATGGGACTCTACAACATATTCTGAGCACAAGAATGGCACATAAATACCTTTGCTTTTAACAATAACCTTTTCATACTTACAATTAATTCAGTTGCATTAGCATGACTGTAATAATCAATTATGTTTTATTTCATCCTCTCTGTGTGTCTGATTTGTTACTGAATTGATTTTCAGGGATGAACTATTGTCATTGTTCCTTTTTGCTGAGAAAACAGGAAAAATGAAGCATTTGTTTTTCTTGTGTCACAAGTTTGAAAGTTGATTTTTTAGTAATTGTTATATATCCATGTGCCATCTGTTTTCTTTTTTCTTTCATGACTTATTTAATTTCAGATCCCTGTAATGTATGTAGTTGAAAAGTTTGATATAAAGATAAATGTTTATATACTCAAATAAAGGTTACCAGTCATATCTCTGTATGGTACTGAAAAGCAGTAAGTTAATTCTACAAATCCTAAAGAGAATTCTCATTTTTTAAACTTCATCCATTCAACGAACTATATCTGTTTTTTCTTCATCTTCTTCAATCAGAAAGTACTTAAGGACTTTGATGAGCCAGAATATGCACTGAGAAAAATATTTTCATACTTTCTTTTTTCTAAAATTTCCCTCAGATTCTACTAGCAGTCACAGTCAGAAAAGAACAATTGGATAATATGAACCTTTGCTCTAAGCCACTATGGCCATTCTTATTTTATGGATTTTTAAAATTATTTTTCTCTATGGCCAAATTTATTGAATGTGCTGCTTTCACCTGCCTTCCTGAGATGTTATGTTCCAGCGCCATTGCTCTTCCTACTTCCTACTCAAGTAACTTCCTTCCAGCCAAAATCCTATTTATATTCCAGCTTTACCCCTTCTGGGGATCTGTGACAGGGAGGGGGGGGGGGGTTAGGTACCACCGTAAAAAAATTAGTGTATTTCTGCTTTTTCTTTGCT